TTCTTCATATATATTTCTATTAAATATCTTTTTAACATAGAAATTATTTCGGGCCAAGCATTTGTTCGGGTCTAACCCATTGATCGAATTGTTCCGCCGTTAATCCATGTTTTAATGCAGATTCTCTCAGTGTAAGTTTTTCTTTGTGTGCATGCTTTGCGATCATAGCAGCCTATAAAAGAAAATTATAAAGATAAAAATATTAATAAATTTTTACACGTACTCTAAAAAACATTCATCTCCATATTTATTCTAAATTCTGAAGGAATACGAATTTATAAATACCTTATCGTAACCGATATGTGGATTTAATGCTGTGACAAGCATCAAACTTTCATTCACATTCCTTTTTATATTGTCAATATTCGGTGTAATGCCCACGACACAATTTTTGGTGAACGAAGAGCAGCCGTCGCCTAACAATCTTGCAGATCTCAAAGTGTTTGCAACCATAACTGGTTTAAAGACATTAAGTTCGAAGTGGCCGTTACTACCACCGACAGTTATTGCCACGTGATTGCCTATTACTTGACAACACACCATGGTCATCGATTCGGCCTGTGTGGGATTTACTTTCCCAGGCATAATAGAACTTCCAGGTTCATTTTCCGGAAGAGATAATTCTCCTAAACCGCATCTAGGTCCACTTCCAAGAAATCTAATATCATTTGCAATCTGCACAGATTACATACAAAATATATCAATAGGATATAAATGATCAGTAGAATATAAATTGTATTTTTTAACAGTTATATGTATCAGTGCCTACTTTCATAAGAGAAACAGCCACCGTATTAAAAGCACCGTGTACTTCGACGATTGCATCGTGCGCGGCCAGAGCTTCAAATTTATTTGGAGCGGAGACAAATGGTAAACCAGTCAGCTGAGCAATTTTCGCAACTGCCTTTTCCGAAAAGCCCTTCCGCGTATTTAATCCAGTCCCGACCGCCGTGCCGCCGAGAGCTAATTGATACAATCTTGGAAGTGTATCTTTCACTCTCTTAATACCATATTCGATCTGCGTAGCGTATCCTGTGAAATGTTTTAAATGTATACGAGCTATTAAAATGTTTTAAATCTTACGAGCTATTTTCCAAAACTAAAACAGTTTGCGCAGACACAAACCTGAAAATTCTTGACCCAATGTCAATGGTACCGCATCCTGGGTATGTGTTCTACCAATTTTAATAATATCTTTCCACTCGTTCGCTTTTTCCTTCAATGCTTTGTGTAACTCTTCTAAGCCTGGAATCAACACTTTATGAATCTCTAAGGCGACAGCTATGTGCATAGCTGTTGGAAATGTGTCGTTGCTACTCTGCGACATGTTAACATGATCGTTTGGATGTACAGGTTTCTTCGAGCCAAGCTCGCCACCGAGTATCTCAATCGCACGATTGGCAATAACCTAAACATTTGAAATATATTGTTAAATAAAATAATTATTTATCAGACGATCATTATCCTTATTTCATAGGATAATCATATACTTTATGCTATTGAAATTATAATATAAATTTACCTCATTGACGTTCATGTTGGTTTGTGTGCCAGATCCAGTTTGCCAAATAATTAAGGGAAAGTGATCGTTATACAGTTTTCCACTTATCACATCATCTGCTGCCTTACTAATGGCATCGGCAACTTTGGGATCCAGATTATATTCTTTATTCGTTTCTGCGGCAGCTTTTTTTAATATACCCATAGCCATTATCAGCCTGCACTATAAAAAGAATTGTTGGTCACTTCAAATGCAAGAAAAGATAAGAAGGTGCATTGTGATATAGCTTATTCTTTTTTAATTTATTGCTATTGCTTACCGGCATACGTTCGAACGTATCACCAATTGGAAAGTTCATCAACGCTCGAAGAGTTTGTGCGCCATAATATTTGTCTGAAGGGACCTTCAATTCCCCGAATGTATCTCTCTCGATTCTGTAGCTTTTGGACTCCTGCTCCTGCACATATAAAGCATGCAGTCCTATTTGTATTGATAACACTATAATGTATAATGTATATTGCATTTCATGATATTCGCATATGTATGTCGTATATATGTACATTATGATGCGTGTTTTTTTATTATAAAGGATAAGGCAATAATTATTACCATCTTTAATATATTTGAAATACTGAGAATAGAAGAACTTATCGAACAAAAGTTGCACTGCAAGATATCGTCACGTTTGCTTTCTGAATTGTTTTCAAAATCTAAAGATCATCTTGATTTTCCTTTTAATTCGCACCACATGTAGATTTCATATAAATCAATTTCGATATTCTGTATATAAAAGTTTTAAAATAGGGTTAAAGAAGACAAGTGGTTTATAAGATATTTTATATTTTATTTTAGACATAAAATATTTTTCAATGACATTATAATACTTTTATGCATGGAATAATGAGATAAAGTAATCGATGTAAAGAAAAAACACATCCCAGGTAGCAAGATGACGTCTAAAGACGTTAGAGGACGTCATTAAGACGGAATTAGTACGTTATTTGACGTCACTCTGCTACCTGGGTATATTGTTTAAAAAGGTATGTAATTTGCAATGTATAATTTTATATATATATTTTTTTTTATGCAAGTAAAAGTTTTCTTTATGTCAACTGAGCTTCATTATTCTGCTTATGAAATTATTAAAGCAAACTCATAAAAAAAATTAATATTTGAAGAAATATATCTCATATTTTATGTCAAAATAGTGTATGAAATAACCAAATTCTTAACAATTTTACTTTCATACTTTTATATGCAGAATATTGAAGGAAAACGGTATACATAAAAAATTGGAAGAAACAGATTTGACCTTCAGATCTCGAAAATGACTCCACCTAAAAAGCAAACACAACCATATGGCGATTCTCTATGTTATCATGTAACGTTCATTAGATAGAGTTTTCTCCCGTTTCCACAGTTTCAAAGATATTAAAGACGACGTCAGTTCTCCTTATCCTGTATATATACAAATATAAAAGCATAGCTCGAAACTGTTCACCATTTTTAGGATTATGTAAGAAGCAGTCGGTACCACGTAGGCAGGAAGACTGAAAGTCAACAGAATGCAGAAGTCTCTCATGACTGCATAGATAATGAGTCTGATAAGCAAGGCTGTGTGACAAGGTATACAACTTTGCATACAGACACAACCGTAAAAAGTTGTATTTTAATATTCATAACGTCCATTATACATACTTGAAAGCATGTTTACATTTATAATAATCCCACAACACTTGTTTATAACAAAATAATTCATATTTCTCATAAAAAAAAAGAGTTAACGAGATACATTCTTCTCGCGAGTCTTTAATCAAAATAATAAGACGGGCCACCGACCAAAATATCAAGAATGTTGGTTACATTAATTAAATGTTACATAAAGGATATAAATATACATAACGAGATTAAAATACTTTTAAGATGAGTGCGCGATCGTGTAATATACCTTGTTGACCATGGTTGAAGTGGAAAAGTGTAACTTCAATGAAGAACAGGCCGTTAATTTTTTCAATTGACGTAAACCACGATTGGGGAGGTGGCACTTCAGCGTGTTCAACATCATGATTTTCAAAGTTTTGACAGTCTGTATCGTATTTAGCAAAAATAATTCAAGCGAGCGGACGAGCGGAGAGAAGACGAGAATAACAACAGTGGACGCAGGGGCCGCAAGGCGCAAGCTCCGTCAAATTTAAAGCCCGCTACATATGCATCCTTACTTATCCTAATGGAGGATTCATACTGCCAGCTGACTGAGCTGACAGCACCAATAACCTCCAAGAAGTTCAGCGCCGAGTTGAGCCGAGCCGGGGGCCGAGCTGGGCCGGGCCGGGCCGAGCCGAGCCGAGTCGGACCGACCGCCATTCCAGTAAGTTATGTTGCGCTAGGGTGATTTCGCACGCTTTGGAGCACAGACAACAAAAAAAGCGATGAATAACGAAATATCACAACGAGGGCGAATCATTTGAGATTTTATTCGGCGGTAGACCGGGAGGATACGCAAATTGTTGACGATTTGGCCCCCGCGTTTCTCCGCGCCACGCTCACGGGGCGGATAAAAAGCGTCCGCCGACGAGCGAAAAACGCTCTCGGCACGGTGGTAGAGAAGGACGTGGCGTCGAGCGCGATTATTGAATCCCGCGGATATTATATGCCCGCACACCGACCGACCGCGACGTCGCGGTGATTCCCCACGTAAAATTTCTCGAGACGTGTAAACACGTTCGTTGATCCGCGTGTGTGTTGTCATTCGGGACGATGATTCCTTGTTACATAAATTGCACATAAGGGAATGCTATGGTGAAGAAAAAGTGCATGAAATCCTCTCGATCCTCTGCAACGGATGGTGGCACTCGAAAATGTCTGACTCTACCTCCGCAGCCTCTATCTTCGTCAGGTAACCGTTCGTTCGCACTCGTACGACTCGTACGGGTATAACAGGTTTTGAAAGGATCTCTCTCTCGCGAGACTGCGATATTTGTTTCTCGTGACTCCGAACGATACGCGCCAGATCAGTTCCCTCGCGTGTGAACGCGTCTCGCGATGCGGAAGATCGTGCTGGCGTATCTTACCTCGTGGAAGATACATACGTATGCGCTTAACCTCATTTCGTACGAAGGAGGAACGAGCGAGAACGAGGGAGGAGAGAAAGAGGGAGAGAGAAAGAAGTAAATACAAGCCGGTTAAATACGTGCAGTCGCGAAGGGAGGATAATTTCTGAAGAGAAGAAAGTATCGACGAAAAAAAGAACACGAGTGAAAGAGAAATTGAAACTTTCCTGAACTAAAATTTTAATCGTGTAAATTACCGAGTGTTAAAACGCGTTAACATGTTTCCTTCATTTCCTTTCTATGTTTTTGTTGTGTAAAACGTTTAGTTATTCTTATTTTAACTTTGCATAACAAAACAAATTGTTAACGAGAGTTTTTCTCATAGAATCATATTTTTTTGATATACAAATTCTCTTAAGCAATTGCTTATCGTTGCTAAGGTTTCTTCGTAAAATTGCAAACAATTTTTTGTGCGAGAGTTGAATTTTATCATTGTCGAACTTCTCACAGTTTCAATCAACATTCTGTTTGGTTCGTTTGATCATTAAAACTAAATACTCTCTCTCTCGGTGATGGCATTGTGAGCAGGAATTGCAAACCTCATATATTGACAAATTTTAAAGAATTCTGAATATTGTTCCAGACTGTCTATTGCTGGAAAATACTCGAACCATCTGTTGAGTGATTATTTAAATTAGAGTTCTGCTGCTATTTCATTGTGACGGTATTCCACTTCATATAAAACTGAAAGTCAAAGTTAAAAATTATAAAAGTAGACATTTTTGTTTAAAGGTAGGAGGACAGAGTCAAAGATCAAATGGAATATCTTCCAAATTGTGATCTACATATTGATTACATTGACTACTTATCTATAATTTTTTATAAAAAATTATTAAATGATACAATTTGAATTATATACAATTTATCCGATTATTTAACACTAGAGAGAAAGTTGCACACATGAACTACACAGAAATACTTTGTTAAATATATAGCCCAGATTTGGACAAAATATATTCATTTCTGACAAAAGATAGGAATTAGCTTAATTAAACATTTTTTAACTTGGATATTATTTTAACCATTTTTGTACTAATAATCTTTTATCTTAATGAGTCTGTTTTC